TCCCATCCCATCCCATCCCATCCCATCCCATCCCAGCCCTGCCCTGCCCTGCCCTGCCCTGCCCATCCCAGCCCAGCCCACAGCAGCCGGGTGCTCTCCGCTACCAGCCAGAAACGCCATGGAGAGCTTCTTTTGGAGCAGCGAGGGCTCCCTGGAGTAGGTGTCACCTGAATTGGCCACGCTTCAGCTGCCCAGGGATTCATCCTGGAAATTCATCTGGGAGGAAGGAGGGACCTATGTGTTCCACAGGAGGATGGATGCATATTGGATGCAGGTTGAACTAGCCTGGAGTTCTCTCTTCCCTCTACACACTTGGTCCACAATGTGTTAAAAATAAATAGATAGATAGATAGATAGATAGATAGATAGATAGATAGATAGATAGATAAAAGTGTACTTCTCAGCTTGAAAAATATATGGAAAACTTGGATCTGGCTGTAATGCCTTCAGTTGTACTCAGCTATATTCCCAGCCTACCTCTGTGTGCACATTTCCTGCGTGCCCTGCTGCAGTGCCACGCTTGGAGGCTTTCGATACCATTCCTCACATGGAAAAGACTATACCTTGTTAGCTTTATCCCAGCCTTTGAGCCTGGGAAGGATTTACACTTGTATGCTCTTGTATTCTTCTCATCAGGTCTAAAGTGGATTATTTGAAGTTTCTTTTTCACAAAATTTGTTTTGAAGTTTACCTACATTTAACAGCAGCCAGAAATTGAAGCCTTTCATCAAAAATTCTAAATTTATATTCTCTCCCTCTCTTTGTGTATGCGTACACACAAACACACAGGCACATCCCCTTGGCCAAAACAGTTAGATGAATACACAAGGTTAAAATAGCACTGTCTGACCCCAGTAGGATTCCCTGTTTGTAGAAAGCATTTCTCCAAAACATTCAACTGCAATACTTTGAACAAAGATCCAATTTCCTGCAGACAGATTTTGTTTCTTTTTTGTTGGTTTTTTTTTAAGTTTTGTGCATGCAGATTTTAGGGTAGCTATATGCTTTTTAACCAGCACTCTGATAGCCTGTTCTTGTTGCATTTTGTAGATCTGTGTGAAAGGATTCACATGGAAGCACCTTTGCAGCCACTGTGGGGTACAATGCACTTGCAGATACTTAATGCATGGGCTCCTGACTGGTTTCTCTGTTGAAACAGAAAATCTAGGTGCTGATTGCTACCTACAAATCTCTGCTTGATCCCTATTAATTTTAGAAATCTCTTTCCCCTCATTTCCCGCTGCAGCAAGCCTAAGGCAGGACATCATCGCTAAGGCAGGAGCCGGAGGCCGCGGGCTGGAGATACCCAGCACCACCTTCTGAAGCTGGCTGTTCCTGGCCAGGATCCTGCTCCTGACCTGCAGGGTTTCACCACAAGCACATGGCCAGGCTGCCTGCAGGCGTTCCTCTCACCGCCCTGTCTCCTGGCACACGGCCCCCTCGCCTCTGGACGACTGGCTGCTATCCACCCTCGCAGATCCTCCCCGGGAAGCCTGCGCCGCTCGCCGCAGAGGATTGTGAAAGATCTTTCCTGGTTTAGGGAAGATGTTGTTTAGCACGGTTCTGTCTGAGGTAAAACGCTTTCACGTGCAGAGAGGACAAGGCCTGGTGTCAGTTTATAGAAAACGATGCCCGAAAAAGCCGGAACAAAACCCTCCTACACTTAATAACAGCAAGGAAACAAGCCTGTAAAATCACAAATAGAAACAAATTCTTTCAATACCAATTGATCATTTTTAGGAGAAAATCCAGTATCAGTCCTTAAAGCAGAACAGACTGAAATAGAAAATGATTTATCGTTTATTATGTTAATGTGACACATTGAAGTGGGAGTACATTAGTGATCATTTTTCACCCAAGTACATGAGGCATTTGGAAGAGATTTATAAATGCACTAACACAGAGATCACTGTTTCCACAAAATGCTGAAATGCTCCAATATTCAGTTAGCACACATTTCTTATGACCGGATCCTGATGGAATTCCTATCAGATGCCTTCGGGCATGGTACAGTGGCATGATGCATCATGTCAAAAAGCAGATCAGGACCATTATCATCAGGCAGATGTTTGACACGATGCATCATGTTACTCAGCCAGTGGCACACTGCCATTGCTCAAAAGGATTTTGACATGATACAGTGTGCCAATGCTGCAGCACAAAACCAGCGCGTTCCAAAAATAGGGACAAATTCACCTCTGGCATGAGTAGAAGTAACTGCAGTGACTTCATTAGATTTGCATCTGCTTATGTTAACAGCGAGTTTGGCTCGTAATCTTGAATTTATATAAAAAGAGTGGTAGGTGGCTGAATTTTCAGGTATTTTCTACTCCCAACATTCAAGCATCATGAGACAGCTGGGGTGAAACCTTCACCTTTCTCAGCTCCTTCCCCTCCACCCCACAAGAAGCAGCATCAGATTTCCATTTTTAACAGTGTAACAATACCTCAGAGTACACAGCGGGCCACTCTTTTCAGAATCTTGGGAGGTTGTGAGGTTGGGAATTTCACAAGCAATAGGAATTTACAGAAAGGGAAGAGAGAGGATCTCTGCTTTCTGCCTCCATTATCAAGGGTAGCTGCATGTGCTAGGTGCACAGCAGCAGCAAAATAAATTTTGAGTGGCAATTAAACAGTAAAAGAATGACATGAAAGAGCAACCAGGATAAATTGTGAGATCTGATAAGATTTGGAGACTTCTTAAAAGGCATTGTAATTTATTGTTGTCCCCTTTCATCACTTAGGGATGAAAAGCACAGCTTGCTAATGCAGATGCATAACACTGACAAAAGGAGAGGAGGGGAACCAGCTAAGGTATGACTGGTGTGAGATCTTTACAGAAAAGAAACATCCCAGTTTTCTGCCTCAATCTGTTTCTTTGGTGAGGAAAAGAACTGACTGCTTCTATTTTAAATAAAGTTCATTCATCTTTGCTGTGTGTTCCAGCTTCTTTAATCCATCAGGGTACAACTGATTCTTGGACCAGCTGAACTTCGGTGATGCTAAGAGTAACCAGAAGGAATGAAGACCAGAAAATCGTCAGAAAGAGCTCGGTAAATACCACCACCAAACAGGACTTGGTTCAGCTGCTACGTGGGTTGTAACATCAAGGGAAAATGGCTTGTCTGATACACTGGAGATCTGAAGGAGAGAGGAAGAGCATAGCAACGTGGCAAAGCAATCTGCACAGGCTCTTCAAGCATTCATCTACTTGCCTGCTCCCAGACGAGCTTTACTGTTGGATTTAGAGGTGCTCACACCTTCCACAGATCAGAAAAGTTATCTAGAGGACTAAATAAATCCTGGAAACTGTTGCAAGCATCTCAAGCCTTTTGAACAATATAAGCAAGAAGTAAGGGTCTTTCTCCCCCTCTTCTCACTGCTATTCAATTATTCCCAACTATTTCTTTGAGGAGACAGCTCTGCACAGTGAGCAGTCCCCCAAAGATTACAGCCCCCAAAACAACCACTCCACTGCTGTATCCTGCCCCCCATCCCTGTTTCACCCTCTGGTGGCATTCTGTAAGTATTTAAATCATTGGAAACCACACCCTAGCTAGCTGTGGCTGGCATTTACAGGCAAAGCCCCTTGGCTTTGTTGTTATGGCCTGCCCAACAGCCAAAAATGTGACATGTTAGTTCTTCCTCAAGGAGACCAAATTGGATGTTACACACGGATTACTTATGCCTTATGTATAAAGGAATAGGAAGGTTAAAAACAATGTTTGTTCACAACTAGCTGGGGATACTCTGATGAGATGGACATCAAAAAATGAGTATTTTTTTTTTCTTGAGAAGTCAGTTTTGATGAAACAGCTTTTTTTTTTTTTTTTTTTTTTTTTGTGGGGAACAATCAATCTTGAAAAAAAGCACTCTGTAAAGCAAGTTAAGTTTCTTGTGAAATCCACCATCACACAAATTTCTAAAGGTTTCACACCAAACTGCTTTTTACTGGGTAGCCCAGCTGGGAAGTTTATCTTGACCTCAGGACTCAGGGGGCACTAGGCAGGTTCCAGTAAAACTGCAGTGCCATCACCACTGAGATCTACACTTCCAGCTGATTCCAGCAAGTCCCAGAAGAGCAGGAGGCAACAGAGAGCTCAGAAGCTCCCAGGCTGAGTTCTGTCTTTCCTCATTCCCCAGGGAGGAAGCACAAGTTGGAGGCAGGCATTTGTTTTCATTTCTGAAGGAAAAGAAGGGAAACAGCCTGCCCCAAACACTTGAGGAGGGAGAGAAAGATGAGAGTTATCTCCATTCTGGGGGACAAAGCTTCTCTCTGTACAAACTTATATTGCTCCCATTTGAAACAATACAGAAATTGAAGGGTTGATTGTTTGAAGCAAAGTGTTCCATTCATTTTGATTCTATTTTAATTCACACAGCATCTTGTGAATACAGGAAACATTTTCCTTATACTTGTAGCCAC